AGGAAGAAAGCATGTAATATAAAAATTAACCTCATTTATAATATAAAAAATGAAATTTAAGTCAATATTTTTTCAATTGTATTGGCAGAAATTTTTAAGATTGATAATACTTGGTGTAGGTAAGACTAAGGGGAAAATCGATACTCTTATGCTAATAGTGTCAGTAATGTATTAAAATCTTCCATTTGGTACTTTGTTTTCAGATCATGTCCCCGTATTAACTGTCAGAATATTTATTATTGTTTGTGATGTATTATAAAACACTGGAAATGCCTGAACATCCACCAACAGGGGAATGCTTGTATCAATTATAACATGTCCATATTATGAGATTAGTACACATTAAAAACAATGTGGTAGATTTCATGTATTCACTGGGAAGGAAGCCCATAGCGTATAAACTTAGGAAAAAGACATTTTAGAAAAACATGAATGATGTCATTGTTTTAGAAAACATTACGTGCACAGTTACCTCCCACCTTTAACACCACATTGTTCATGATTTTTCCAAATGTAGTTCCTACATAGCAGATATAAATTCCTTCATCCACAAGGCTTAATCTTCTGAGAGACAGAGAAGCATTCCCATTGTGAATCTCACTTTGGAAGAGGGATGTCCTGTTTGTATATCTGGGATCTTGCCTTTCCAAATGGTCACTGCCTCTGTAGTAACTGTGAACATTGATGGTACTTTGAGTCTGCCAGTGAATTATGATTTCGGATCCACTCTTAAATGAGCAAGGGAGAATTATGTCTTCATCAAGTCTTCCAATGATGATTTGCTCATTCGTACTACTCAAATAACTGAAGAAAGCTGAAAAGAAGGTATCTACAATCAAGGGCAGAGAATTTATAAAGAGAATTAGTGATGAATGTTTGTCAAGTGTCATATCAAGACTACCAAGAAGAACTTTCCGAAATCAGCAGTCTGACCATTAACAGACAGCATCATCAAGAACTTTTGGTATTCTGATTAATAGAAACAAGCCATGAAGCTCTGGGTTTGAGTTTCTTCAATTTCAATTGAATAGCTGTTTTATTCAATCTAACTGTGAGAATTGGCAACAGCCCAAAGCATAGGGCTGATTTGCTACCCACTTTATCAATAGTCTTGTCTCTCCTCCAATCCTGGCCTGCCACAGTGCTGGAAATTATATATATAAAAGACTCCTGTTAATTTTTCATTCTCAGAACACTTTCATTTTTAACACCTACTGTAACAATAATAAATTAGTTTATTCAGCTAACTAGAGCCATCAGGCCCTGGAAAAGTGAAACAAATTTAGCTTGGTAGGATTAGGAAATACTTGGAGCATATAGAAGACAGTTCTGGGCTCAGGAATCTGCTAGAATATCTGGACATTAGTTTCAAGCAGGAGAGGACATGGAAAGAAGTCCAAAAGGGAAAATGGAGTAATTCATTCACTTTAACTTTAGGACAACTCTCAGGATATCCTATGAGCCAGTTAAGATATAGTTAAGGAATATTATTCTGGATATAAATGTGGATGTCCAATCGTCTTGCTTTTTTTTCTATCAACTTCAGAAGTTCATTTCAAAAGGAAAATGAATCCAACTCAAGAAGTATTTCTGCAAAGAAAATATTTCTAGCCACTTCATATCATTGAAGGCAGTATTCAGTTTCTTTGACCAATTTACAAATTATTTTAAGTAGATCTTGTGCCCTTCTCTATGGATTCTAAGATAGTAGGACTGCAAAGGACCTTATTTATGGACCGAGGAGTAAATTCCTTTGGACTTTGACCAAGACCACCCAAGATGGGAGAATTGGGTGCTCATGTGGCTCTGCCACAGTCTGTTCCCTCTGGGGCACTTTCCACCCCGCCATGTTCCTCCTCTCTTCCTCAGACTGAGTTTCTCTGCAGAGAGATAGAGAGATGTCATAGTATATGCTGAGAGAAAGATATGGAAATGTGGGAAAGGAGAGGAGTGATTATTAACCTCCCTAATTGCTCTACAAAACCCCTCTAATATAATATTTCACTGGATTATTAAGAATGTCTGTCACTGGACCTAGCAAAGCTGATAACGCCTTCTGTCAAGTGTTAAGTACCAAGCTTACACTTAAAATCAATCAAACTTGCCTTTCTAGTGATTTTATTTCTGGTAGCAGATAACAGATTAGAAAGAGCCTTAATCAGAGCAAACAGAAGAAAACATGACTTTTAATCTTCTTGTAGACTTCCAGAATGATCTCTGTTTCTCATTCACTGATCATTTAGGAAAGTTCAAAACGCTGTGGCTATGGAGGCAATAGCCACCTTGCATTGTGTACTCATGTTCCTACTTAATGATACAAAAAACTAAACACTTGTATTATAGAGGAAGTTACCTTGAAATCCGTTCAGAAGTGGTATGAGAATGAGGGAGATAGACAGCACCACCTGTGCCGTCATGTCTTGTGGAGGTCATATTAGTTATGCTATTAAAGAAGCAAAATATACATGTTATAGACTTTAAATGCAAAAGGAAATTAGAAAAGAATTATAGTGTCTGACTCTAGGAAATTATTTAGACTATGGTACATCCACACAAATAATTCTTTTGTAGCCATTAAACATGACATTGTAAAAGATGGTTAAATGGCATGGAAGGAAGTTCTTAAGACTTTCTAGGAGAAAAATCAGATTACAATACAACTTCAAAACAGCATGGTCCCTTTTTAAAAAGAATGCACATTTCTGCACTATGATACTGACAGGACATAT